TAATAATAATAATAATAATATAATAAAATAAAAAATAATAATAAACTGGCAGCCACCCGTATCAACCATTAGCACCAGTCATGTTTAGTGAATAAAAGAAATAAATAATAATAAATATATTAATATATACACAGACGTTACCTTAACAGCTGAACTGTTAAGTTTTGACCAGTCCCAGACTGTGAATCGAATTGAAGCTGAAATCAATCAGCCGTTACATTTGATAAATAAATAAGTTAAAAGCTAGCAAAAGCAAGCCGAAAAAAAGGGAGGAAAAAATAAGCATCAAAAGAGAAATAATCCAATAATCGATTTTTTTATTAAAAAAAGCTAAAACGAAAGCAAGCAGATAAAACGATAACCTCAGGCTAAAAATTATACATAATCATCATCATTACAAATGCCACAAGGAGAGAAAACGGTGCATAAATCCAAGCAGAACCACCGCATAATAAAATTTAAAAAATTGGGAAGCAAAAGCATTGGGAAGTGATGCCATGCAGCTGGGCCTCAACGTACGACCGGAATTGAACCCGGAGCTCTTGATGGTCATTAAGCGATCCATGTTGCTTTATATAGGATTTTACTCTTTGCGGTTGACTAGAAATAAACACAGCCTTACCTACGTTACAATCGGCGCCGATGTATCCAGCCGGACACTGGCACGCCCCCGTTGTGGCCACACAATGACCGCCGTTCTTACACTGACACAATCCCTCGCAATTCGGCCCGTAGCGTCCCGGCGGGCACTCTGAAAAGCCGTGAGATGGAAACCAACCGTTAGCCGGCGGAACAGCCTGCCACAGGATTTCTCTTTTCTCCCGCCCCTTGAAACAGGGATGCTCATTCGGATTTTGAATTGCGCGGGGGCTGGACTGGATGACCTCAGTGGTGCCCTCTCCCAAACACTAGGACTCCGTGATTTTTTTTCTCTCCCCAACCCCCCCCCTCCCGGCTTTGAATTATTGAAGGAGGACTGTTGCCACATCAAATGGAAGAAAATTTGGCTCAAAAGGTTTAATCGGGGATTAATTTAGCGTATTAATTTAAGCTGAAACTGGTAATTAAGACACTATTTTTAAATATATTTATTTTTTAAAAAGGGCCTCCTTCTATCGGCTGGCGCAACCCACTCAAACCTCCCACCAAAATCCAACAAAATGCCTTTTAAATTGGGCACGCAAAACTGAAATATCCATGGATTTTTCAGT